CATATATCAATTTAAAAATAAATGTCCAATTAAGCACTCCTGCCAACCTCTTCTCCACCTTGGCACTCTCTGCATACCTTCAAAATCAATCCCCATTGCTTCTCCATCAAAGAAGCAAATTGACATAAAAACATAAGAAAAGCCATTCTGGATCAGACCAATGGGTCCATCTAGCCAAGCATGCCATTGACATAGGGGAAAACCTGCTGCTTACAGGATCCTTCAAGCAAGATGCATACAACTCCTCAGCAACTGGTGGGCACAGGTATGCTGCCTCTGACAGCAGAGGTAACATGCAGCCAATAAGCCTAGTAGCCATTGATAGCCTTCTCTTCCAGGAATTTGTCCATCTGTATTGCCCTGAGTACACAAAAGTCCAGTCTCTGACAGCCTCTGTAACAGGCTCTGTTACCTTCTCAAGAATGGTCAGTTTCTGTGCAAGGATCAAGGCCATATGGTTAGTGTGTCTCTGAAGCGCCAAGTCAGGTGGGGATGTCCAAAAGATTGTTCAATTAACATGTCAGGAATCTAGATACTGGTTAACAACAACTAAGTCCATGAACACAGATAATGCTGCTTGTTGTTTGCAACACAGAGCAGCTCTGCCTGAACTAATTTATAGCCAGCTGTAGCTCAGCACAGCTGGCTAATTAAGTCAGCATGCTGTTTCATGGAAAACTCCCCTTTCAGACTGTTTGGATTTCTGTCAGAGCCAAAGCTGTGCACACCTTTTCCTTTCTAAAGGGTGAATTCCCTCTGCCTCTGGCTCCTGTTCCTGGGGAACCACAGTGGCTGCCCACAAGGGTCCTGCCTCCTCCTCCTCCTATGGAGGAGAGTCATCTGGAGCCACAACCCCTGTGTCTGATTGTGGCTGAGGCTCATTGCACTGGCTTTCTTCATCTCAGGAATCCTTCTCCCGGTAGGACATGATACCACTGCCCTTTTACAGCTGTCCAGATTGGGGGCCATCGCTATGTCCTGTGGCAGTGAATTTGTTAATTTAACTATGCATTGTCTGAATCTCTCAAGAACCAGCTTCATGAGACGACACCAGGCTCTGGCATTATGGAAGAAGGAGAAAAAAGGGATCTACCAAGGGAAGGAGGCAGGTCTTGTGAAGAACAAGGAAGAGCCAACTTCGTCCCAATCACTCCTCCATCAGAGGAGGAATGGGGACTAGGCAGGCTCAGCTTCATTACACATAGAGTTTCCCTAACCAGAGAAGCCCACAAGCAGTGAAGACTGGTGGAAGATCCACCCTGTACTTGGGGTGAGGAGAATTACGTCATGTGGAGGAAACCATGCCCACTAATTCCAGGGATGTGCTCACACCCTACTGCCATGATACAGTCCATGGAGGACTGGAGGTGGTCATCCATCTCCCAAAACCACTTCTATCGCTCTTCCTTAAGAGTGCTGCCATTTGCTTTGAACTGTTACAGCTTTTCAGCTGCATACAATGGACATCATATCCATGATACGATGCATGTTTATGCACATTCAGACAAAGAGTCCTTAAAAGAATGCCATACTGACTGGAGCATAATGGGGATTATAGAAGTTCTTTCTGTCAGAATATGCATAGCATTGCAGCCGCAATATGTTAAACGTTTTGGAGCCACTTGAGTTCCAGTGATGCTCAGTCTGAAATCAGTGGCAAAATTTCTCCTAGCTTCAAAAGAGACAGGATAAGCCCATTAGCATGCATTAAAAGCAACTCAAGTCTTGCTTCATTGTTTTAAGAGGGAGCTTGTATCAAGACTCTCTTTAAAACTTATACTACAATCAGCGACATTTGCTCATTATTTTTGAGTTTTGTTACTGATGAAGCTATTATTGAATGTCTGGAGAAAGAAATGGGAAACTCAGGCTCAGAATTTAATTCCAAAGGTTAAAATTCCATAGGTATTATAGTTCTGTTCTTAATTAATTATTTAATTACAGGGCATTATTTCAGCTTTCTAGTAAAATGGCACAGTTCACAGAATTCCTGTAAAAACCAACACTTTCCCCACCACAGTTCATGCTATAATTTAGCAATAAAAAATCATTCCAGAGTGACACTTAGCTCGCAGGTTGCTTTTCTTTAAACAGCTGAATGGGTTATATTCTCCTCTTTTTCAAACTCAGTTTAAACTAGACAAAGTAAGGTTTTTTTTCCTTTTAAAAAAGCATTCCAGTTGCATAATTCAATGTTGACTTTAACATTATTAATGACTGGAGTTTTAATGGGCTTTTAAAAAGCAATCTATGACACTTTTGTTAAAGCCAGGTAGCAAAGAACCAAGTTAAATGCTAAAATAGCAAGCACCACTAAGTCTGTTACCATAAAATATTTACCATATAAATTACTTATCAAAGAGGCAAAACCTAATACATTTTGAGCATAACGCACTTTCCTTGGGATAATTATAAAGGAATCTTGCAAACTATTTACCCTTGACTCAAAGGTGGCATTCCAATCAAGGTGAGTATGTGTTTTCAAATCTTACAGTGGATTCACTGCAGTAGTATACTGCACCTGTTCATATCTGGCATTTGGACTTGTATGCGAGCCATGGATGAAAAGCACCATGAATTTTGAGGATCCTACTGCCACCACTGGACATTGTGTGCTTGGGAACTGGTAAACGAGGCAACATATATCCGAAGACCACATTTGACCTGCAAGCCAACATCTCTTGACCATCTCAACCTCCCGCAATTTGTGGCCTCCACTGGTTGGACTGAACACATCTGAAGGAGCCAGGTTGGAAGAATGCTTGGAGCAATGTTGTTTTAAATTATTACAATTTGTCTACTTTACTCAATGAATTATATACAACACAAAAGCTCTCATCCAGAAAATCTTATTGTGTTTAGTTGGTTATTTTGTTTTTAAATAAGATTTTGTTTTGCATCAGCCAAATGGTCAGTAAAATTATTTAAAGCTGTATACAGAAGTAGGGATGTGTGAGCATAAGTAGTAAGAACATATTCAGAAAGCTGTGTTCATTCAGATCCCAGAAATTTGTCTCCATGTCCCTTTTGAGACAGGTAGAAATTAGCTATCCAACTAGAGTTGGATCAGACCTACAAGGATAAGGAGTAGGAATTGGTGATTAGAACATCAACTTCTTTTTACAGTTTTTTTAAAGTCAAGGTCACCACAAAATATCACATTGTGTTACATCTTAATTTGAAACTTCAGCCTCCAAGAGGCTGGTTACTTCCTTTAGTTGCCCATAAAGAAGCCGACAAGTATTCTCTGCTTCCTTATAAAATGTACAAGTAAATACACATACCCAGTACAGCTTTTCTTTCACAAATGAGTTTTTGTGTCCTTTTAAAGGAAGTAGATTAGAATTCTCTCTGCTCTGCTTTAGAATTTCTGTAGGTATCAATGACTACTCCACCACCTTCCACAAATGAAGAAGAATGCTTAAAGAGCAAATCTTGGAATCTGGCGCTCTCATAACAGCATCCAATTTCTTCTTTGTTGGCCATAATCAGTCACAAATGGGTCACAAATAGAAAACAAGCCGCACCTGCAGTCTGACAGCTTGCTGGCTTTATTTGCAAGAACCCAACCTTGCCTATCTCTAAGTGCCAGCCTCCTGGCACTTGCACCTGTCTTCTAGTCTTATGCTTACTGCTGCCCAGCGCTCTCACCCTGCCGCTGGTGTCTGTCTCTGCTGCCAGCTTCTGTCTTGACTCATCTCATCTCTGCCCAACAGTGAATTCCTTATCTCATCTCTTTGTTTTCCAGGTTTATTTTCTTCCCAATTCAATCCCTGGCACCTGCTATTACTGCTATTAGTCAAGATTCTATAATTGGAGATCAGCTATCTGTAGATGCTGTAGGAAGTTATTGAAAATCTGGTCTACTAGACAATAACTATTTTAGTTCTGGAGGGCAGAAAGAACGATCTTTTGATAGTACAAATAAAGCAGACAGCACTCAGTGTTAAAAATAAGCATGCTCTTTCATAATCAGATTGTCATTTGACATCATCATGTCAGACGTTTCTAAAATTATGTTAGGAAGTTGACTCACTGTTTTTAATACAGGCTGATTTCAAACACTGATCTTCCTAGTGGTGGCAGTAAAGTAGATTATTTATCTAAGTGTGCAAAGCATGAAAGGTTTTTATTTATTTATTTATTTATTTATTTATTTATTTTTATTAAAACATTTTTATGCCGCCCCATTCGCCGAAGCCTCGGGGTGGCTTACAACAATAAATTAAAATAACATTTTAAAATATATACATTAAAATACAAATATATAATATTGTACATTGTACAATACAGTACAATAAAACATACAATATAAAACAAGCCGCCCTGGCCAAATAAAATTCAATAATATTAACATTTAAAATACTGCTTAAATAAAAAGGTCTTCGCCTGGCGCCGAAAAACAAATAACGATGGCGCCAGGCGGACCTCTCTGGGGAGCGCATTCCATAACTTAGGCGCCACCGCTGAGAAAGCCCTCCTCCGAGTAACCACCTAACTTCTACCACGGAGAGCTCCCGGAGAAGGGCCGATCTCAGGGGGCGGCTGGGCATATAAGGATGTAAGTGCTCCTTCAGGTTGACTCCTAGTCATCTTGGGCAACCAGAAATTTGGCTACAAATTTGGAGGAAGTGTATGTGCTAAATTACTTGGATTAGGCATAATACACATTCCTGGTCCTCACAGCTGTAAGCAAACCTTTTGACGATGTAACTGGGACGTGTGCGTATGTCTAATTCTCATACCCACACGTGATTATGAGGAAGCTTTCCCTGTCAAGTGCCAATTGCACAGCAAGTACTTTATTCTTCCAGTCTGCAGGTACAAGAATCTACTGCTATATTCCTAAGCACACTTAGTAGGGCATCAGTTCTACTGAACTCAGTGAGCCTTACTTCTGAGTAAGCATGCTTAGGAACATGCTGCAGCTTCATTACTAAGCCCTTGGCTCCCTGTTGTCCTCCATCACACCTCCTTGCAGTGGTGTTTTTCTTTATTACCTGGAGTAGTGAATAGCCTGATGTCCAGCAATATTAAAATAGAAGTCAGTTGTATGCTTCATCTCATCAGTATGCCCAGAAACTTCAATCCAGTGTCCTATTGGAAGGCAATAAACTCCATCAACCAAGTTGCTTGGGTTATAAACACTGCATCGATCATGGTGGGGCCCATTGCCTGAAACAAGAGTAAGACACACATTGTGGGTCAATTTAATTCAAGAATATAATTATAAAGAGCTCTGAACGTATAGGATTCTCATGCCACATTATGTGTTTCTTGTGGTGGAAAGGACTAGATGGTCATCCAAAGATGGAAAACTAAACAAATAAAGCCTATTTTGAAATAAATATTCTGTCTGAATCTAACTAAAATATTTCTGTGGAATGGCTTTTGTCTGTGCAAATAGAAGCACCAGCAAACTGAGAACTGGATGTGCACAAGCCCATGAAAATAACTTTAGTGTTCCTAAATCTGTTCCTGGTTTTAGCTAATATATAAGCAACAATTTAACATTTCTTGAGCAAGTGCAAAACAAGTCCCTTTTAACTGTAATCAGTTTCTTTGTTTATAAGCAATTAACCGTATTTAAGGCACAATCCTATGCAAATCGGAAAGAAAAAGGTTTGTAACTCCCAATGCGTCCCAGCCAGCAGCTTTATTAGGGCGTGCTGAGAGTTGTAGACAATTTTTTCTGTCTAAACTTGCATAGGAATGTGATCTTAGAATATTACCTGTACAAAGCTAAACATGTTTTATCTCATTTGCAATGTTTTTCAGAATGTTCACTCACTGCATTATAAATTCATCATCTTAGGAAACAGATGAAGTACAAATACCTGAGCAGACAAGTTGCCAAGCTATACTTTTCAGTGAAATGACCTAAACACCAGCAACTAATTCCCCTGATTTTACCTTAGTGCTTTCATCACTGTAGCAAAAGCATTACTTTTATTGGTGGATTCTTTTCCTATTCCAGACATTAACAGTGCCATCTGCTGCATGAGGAATGGCATGTGCCATGGCTGGGCACAGCTGACTTTTGAAATCTAATGCCTCAATTTGTAAACATGAACTCCAAAGTTTAAAAATGAAACAAAACTTTTTATAGCTTTCAGACTGACAGCTGAGGAAAGAGCTGGATAATCCTAGTGGCAGCAAAAGTTAACAGCGCTGAACCTAGCCACCGTTTCGGGAGGTCACCATTTTGACCCAGAACACTGTAGGCATTCTGACAAAACAAAAGTTCATGAACACCCAGATGGCAGCCACCTTCCCCATCTCCCAAAGGATGATACAGAACAATGCAATGTCCAGAAAATTCTAGGAGGGGAGAAATGGAGGCTGGTAAGAGAGGCTGGTAAGTCTCAGCTTCTGAATCTCTTGCTGCCACAGACACATGCAAAGTTCCCAGCGTTAAATGGTATGAATAGAGTACCAAGTTATGTATTCGTTCACACATTAGTGCATTTCTTTCAGAATAAATGTAAACGGAACAAAATGGGCGCTATTAAATTCAATTTTCAATGTGTTTCAAAATGAATACACACCCTTATTTGGAAGAATGTCCTTAGACATTATTTACACACACACACAATGGCATCAAGTTTTAGAGGCAGATTTGAAAACAAAATGCTAAAAGGAACAGAACTATTTAGAAATATTTGGACATACAAGTGTTTTTGTACATGGTTGGATATGCAGCTCACATCTGAAAAAACAGAGCAGGACATCACATTTATTTAGCTAGTGTATTGCATATATTGCCAGGGAGTCTATAATGTATTACGCAGAGGAGATGTTCTGGCGCCTGCAGTTGCTAGCCTTTTACTGTGCTGGCACACCACAGAGGGAGGACTAGCTCAACACCGGTTGGCCAGTGGTGCTTTTTTGTTGAAATTGGCTCATCCAGGGCTTTTCTCCTCAGATCCTCTATCCAACACATCCCGGCAGATCCAGCACCAATGCTTGCTTTTCATTGTGAATGCAGCCAGCAGGTTTTCTCACCAGGAAGTGGTGGTTCCTATTTATCTACTCACAGATGGAATGCTTTTGAACTGCTAGGTGGGCAGAAGCTAGGGGGAACAATGGGCGCTCACTCCGCCCTGCGAGGCTGGGCTCAAACAGCTGGAGTGTGCACCATTTCTGATCAACTGTTCCAGCATCATTAAGCCTCTACACCACCAAGTCCCCCAGGACATCAAATGTATAACAAAGTCTCACAAATGTATGGAAATATCACTGTTATCACTGGATTACATCTAGCTATTTCACAGTTTCATTGGAGTAGGAATGAAGATGTTCATGCACTCATAATTTTCATGCACTCGTAATACGTAAGATTACAGATGTGTATGTATGTGCTGATGGAAGGACTGCGATTGGCAATTCAGTTTGGATTTTTTTAAGCAGTTTGAACATACATATTGGAAAGTGCCTGTAGTACAAGGTTTCAGAAATGTTGGCTGTTCTTCAATTTCCACATTTTCTACTCTCCAATAGCCAGAGTTTAAAAAACAAAATTAATCAACATTTCCAGCCACCAACTCTTGCATTTGCAGAATAATAAATGAGATACGCACAAAAATCACCTTGGAATAAGGCTATGGCCAAACAAAGAACACATTTGTAAAGTCCAGATCAATTGACAAATACATTTTTCTCCAATCTTGATAGTGTTAACTTTTTGGTTAGAACAAATGTAGGTTTAAGAGGGATTGGGGGAAAAATCATTCTCAGAACATGAAATAAAACACACCTTTCTATCGCACCATTGCAGTATTTAATTTGGAATGGGCAGGCTAAATTCCATTTCAGGGGAGCTTTTGGGGGCTGACTTCCAGTCAAAAATGGGGGAAAAGGGGGGTGGGACTAACCCCCAATACTAGCATAATTTATTAGAGAGCTATTACTGCCAGTAACTAATTTTGTTATTTAATTACTGCACCTGGGAGATCCAGAGTCTAATCTCTTTATGGAGGAATATTTCCATATCTAAAGCTGATCTAAGATAAAAGTAACCAAACCCATCACTAGCTCCTGCACTACAGGGACTAAAATAATAGACCTTAAATAAATATGCTAAAATGTTTTAAACCAACCACCGTGCTGCCTTTTATGTCCAGATCACCCCAATGTTCTTGTACAGGCAGACAAAATCTGAGAAGCACCCACTGCTGTATTTTGCCCAAAGCAAAACATGGTAGCCCACCCACTGGTTGCATGGCACACATGGTGTGCAAGGAGAGCTCCTTTTTGTGTGCACAGCCACATTTGCACAAACAGGCCTCAGTAGGATAGCACAATTCAAACAACTTGGGGGTTGGTGGTGGTTGCTTGGCGGACACGATGGGAATGCAGGGCATGGTGTGGAGATCTTTCAGGCTTTTAAGCCAAAGGCAAGCCCCACTTTTAATATTTATAGATGGGACCTGGATCAAGTAAGTTCAGTTTTGCTTGGTCTTCGAAACATCATATCCCAATTGGCTGAGAGTTCTAGCTGGGTGGAAAACAGTCACTGGGAACAGACAGTTGGCAGTTCGAACAACAGTTTGTGGGCATTCAGGGAGAAGGTCTGTTAGCTGATGTGATTTCTCTGAGGGAAGATTGAAGTGGGAGTGAATAGCTAAGGCCTATTAAGGTATTCTTTCACTGTGAGATAACCAAACATGGCTGAAGAAGATCAGGAACGGGGGTCTGATGACTCATATACCAGAAGGCTGTCCTAGGATCTCACCAGAGGTAGGGCAAACAAATAGCCATTTAAAGAAGAAAAAGAAACAGCTGTCTGGAGTATAGTGAAAGCAGCTTTGGTGTCAGAGGAAGAATATACCCAAGAGCTGGACAAGGTTGTGAGTGTGTCTGGTTGAGGATGAGAAAGTTTTAAGGTATTTGGCTTTATAAGAAAAAGGGCTATTAACAGCACAATGCAATGTGGCTGCCAGTAAACCACCAAACTGAGAGGATTACAGGCATCCTATGGACACCAATAGGAATGTAAAGGCATATTTAAAACACCTTGATAACTGGTTTTAAGGACTGCAGGTGGTGCAGTGGTTTAAACCGCTGGGCTGCTGGGCTGGTTGATCGAAAGGTTGCCGGTTTGAATCTGTACAACGGGGTGAGCTTCCGTTGCTCCGTCGAAGCTCCTGCCAACCTTGCAGTTCGAAAGCATGCAAATGCAAGTAGATAGAAAGGTACCACTTTGGTGGGCAGGTAACAGTGTTCCGTGCACCTCGGAGTTTAGTCATGCGGCCACATGACCACGGAGACTGTCTGCGGACAAACGCTGGCTCCCTCGGCTAGGAAACGGAGATGAGCACCGACCCCTAGAGGCAGGAATGACTGGACTTACCGTCAAGGGGAAACCCTACTTTTTACTGGTTTTAGCTGCCCAAACATTTTTCACCTGCTCAATATAAGGGCAGGCTGACGGCCTACCAAGCTATGATGTACCCTGGTGGAGCCTCATTCTGTCCCTCTCCCCAGAATGCCTTCCCTTCCAGTTGCAGTGGTGCAGAAAGAACCATGCAGCATGTAGGGGCAACACGACTGCACTCTCTTAGCAGAGTTTCAGCTCCGATCTTACTATACTTTTCCAAGGTTAGGGCTGGGACTCCACTCCAATGGATGTTGTGGAAGCCACGGCATGCGCTGGGCATTATTTGCCTAATTACCCACCTGGGTCCAGCTTGTCATATTTCTTCTTTCCTTCTTTCTTAGATTTTGAGCCTGCCCCATTAGCCACAAGTCTCCCTAGGTAAGTTACAATCGAACACATACAATCAATAAAATGCTGTCTAATCCTAGGAGGCACAGCTTGTTTGAGAGGGAAACAGCCTACAGGTCATGGATTATCTGAAGATTCTTTCCGCATCAGATATGCCATGCTACCCAGGTTGAGACAACATGACAAGTTGTGCCCAGCTGGGTAACCAGGCAAAAGGGGCCCCATATGCATTATGGCTGAAACAAACCACCATGGCTTGTTTAAGCCACAGTGATTATGCAAACTAGCCCAAAGTGACAGGGAACTCCATAGGCCCTGGAATTTAAGCTATTTGCTAGAAAAAGACAGAACCCATAGGTGACATTGCCCAATAAATAAGCAGTTTCCCCATAGGTGGTGGCAGCACTGTAAACAGGTTTCCCCATACAATATAAGATATAGCAGACTT